AAAGCAGCACGTAGATTGTCTCCGGCTCTCCCTACCCACGTCACCTGAGTTTGGCGGTGAGCGGGGCCATTTCTGTCCTTCACCGGCAGGGGGCCCTGTTGGCTCTGTTCCCACCCCCTCGTCCACCTCCCCTGTGGGCAGGCGCTGAGGGGCTTTGCTGAGCATTGCACAGAAGGGCTGCAGAGTGGGGTGGAAAGTTACGCGCTGAATGTGGGTGATGTAGACGGCCCAGCTGGAGGAGCAATGCCACAGAATCCACAATCCCGAATCAGCCCGCTGACCTTACACCGTGGCTTAAGGGGATTGAATAGGAATTCTGAGACTGCGGTCTGAGGCAGCCTTCCCTTTGGCTCCCAATCCCTTTCCTACAAAGCAGGTTTCTTTGTATTAGATTATTCCAACGATTATGCCTTCCTAAAGCAGGCCTGAGGTTTCTTTTAAACAATATTGAAAGAGAATAACTCTATTATCCTCCCTTCTTGCCCAACATCCCCCTAAAGCATCCATGCAGATTATCGCCAGCCAGTGGTTACGGAGATCAGTCAGAACCCAAGGAGGTTCAGAATCAACGCCATACTGAATTCTAGTGGAAATTGGACTATGGCCCGTGTAGTTTATTCTTCTGTTTACGTGGGTGCAGCCATAGGAGAGAAAGAAGAACAGGGTTCTCATGCTGGTTTAGATACCAGCCTAGCTCATGTCTCCTTAAACAAGTCATATCTCTCTAGGTCTACAGTTATTTCCTTCTGTACAAATCAGGAGGGTGAGGATAGTTGATCAGAAACAGAATGATGTTCTTTTTCCGAAGCCTCGGGAAATGTCATGAGGGGGACATTTTTGTGGGCTGGTGGATTTTGTTTTTAGACAGCCTGTGGAGCCAGCTTACCAGGCCTCGTGGCACACAGAAAAATGCCATTTGGAAATAGGAAGAGAACACAATTCTAGCTATTTTGGACCACCCATGGCATAAACTGTGTGGCTCGTTCCCAAACAGAGCATTCACCACGCTTGAGTCCTGTGTTCTGAAAAGAAAATTAAACAGTCCAAACGTCCGCCAACTAGTGAATGGATAAAATGTGGTCTATCCATATAATGGGATAATACCCAGCAATATAAAGAGACAAACTAGTGATAACGCTCTCACCTGGATGAACCTTAAAAACATGATGCTCCGCGGAAGAAGCCAGATGCAAAAGACTGCACATCACATGATCGTCGTTTACGGGGAAATGCCCAGAATAGGCAAATCCATAGAAACAGCAGATCAGAGGTTGCCTGGGGGAATGGGTTTGGGAATTGACTGCAGATGAGCACTTTTCAGGGTGATGGAGATATTCTAAAACTAGAATTTACTAAACTTACTAAAACTCATCACACACTTGACTTTATGGATATAAACTGTATCTCAGTAGAGCTGGTTTGTTTGTTTGTTTGTTTTAAAAAGATGACCACTGTGTTTTCTGTAAAATGAGATTATCATGGTTGATTTTCTTTTTGACGCCTGTGGCTGTGGCCTGGAGGGGATGTGCAGGAAGAAGGGCTTCTTAGTTTTCTCGTGGTTGAAGAGCTCTGTGCTGAGTTCTGAGGGGGCTGCAGGTACAATGACGGTATTTTCTGAAGCCAAAAGGGAAATACAGAGTCAGGCCATGTCCTAGGTGCGTTGCCCTTATTTTCTCATTAATCCTCTGTTAATTCTCATAGCATCCCTGTGGGGAAGGTGTGGCACACATATGCCAATTTTAAAGAAGAAAACTGCGGCTCAGAGAGGTTGACTCTTGGAAAAACTTTGAAGTCCATAAATGATGGACTAGAGAGATTCAAACCCAAGGCTTTTGTGGCTCTAACAATCAGTGATCTTTATAATAAAAATGCTTCCTCTTGGGCTTCCCTGGTGGCGCAGTGGTTGAGAGTCCGCCTGCCGATGCAGGGGACACGGGTTCGTGCCCCGGTCCGGGAAGATCCCACATGCCGCGGAGCGGCTGGGCCCGTGAGCCATGGCCGCTGAGCCTGCGCATCCGGAGCCTGTGCTCCGCAACGGGAGAGGCCACAGCAGTGAGACGCCCGCGTGCCTCAAAAAAAAAAAAAAAAAAAAAAAAAAAGATTCTTCCTCCTAAGAAAAAGTGTATTTATGAGAGCACTGCGCTGTCACAAATAAAAAGATGCTTTCAGGAGTAATAGAACAGTTATGAACGATAAATGACTGAACATCCACAGCAGAGAGAGAATATGACAGATCCAGCTCCATTCATCTGCCCTGGGCTGGGCAGGTAGGTTAAGGGGGTCCCGATGTGGATATGCCTGCTTTGTGCAGGGGGCAACCCCTGAGCCCTTGGACATGCTGAATTGCTAGTTCTTCCCTTCTTTGTTTTTCTTGCATGGTTTTAAAAAAATGTATTATGGGATATTTGACACATCCCATAATACAAGAATACTTCTAGAAGGAGAATAAAGAATCCTTATATGGCCATGAGCTAACTTAAATAAAACATTATCTGGTGTGCTTTTCAATACACGACCCATGATGGGTATGTAAGTAGCCTGGTTACACCATGTTGGGAGCCTGGGCTTTGAGCTGGAAAACCTCGATTCAGATCCCAGCTCCAGCATTTATTACCTTGGAGAGGTTGCAAACCTTTCTGAGCCTGTTTCCCCTTAAGTAAAAGGGAGATAAAATAGGCCTCATTTTCCAGGTTGTAGGGATTAAATGGGATCATGTATGTAAAAAGCTTCTCTTGATATATACTAATTAGTAGTAGCTCTATAAAAGGCACTAAAATCTTACATAGATTTCATCTGTCATGATTATAGCTCTGTTTTCACCCTTCAGGGAGTTCAATTTTGAGGGGAAATTGTTTTCCCGAGTTCCATAACAGGTCGTCACCTGCACGCCAGCTCTTGATTCTGTCCTGCCTCCTGTCACTGTCCAGCTAAGGGCTCAGGGGTGTGTCCCTTTACCCTCCATCTGCCCGTGAGGAAAATGCCCATCTTAAAGAAGAACACTGAGGCTCAGAGGTTGAATCTTACAAAAACTCAATGTATAAACTGAATCATCCCAGCTAAGCCTCATACTCTGTGACACTGGTGTCCTTGTCAGAACATTTAGAAGCAGAAGCGGAACAGGCCACAGGTGTGTTCTCCTTTGGTTTCCTTAGGATGGAGAAGGAAGCAGAGCTGAAGGGTTAAAGCTGAGCTACCCAGAGAAACTGGGGGACTTTCCCACATCTGGGGAAACTTTCTGTGCTCCCTGCATTGCACACAGTGGTTTACGAGCATCTTGACTTGTCCAAGTCAGCCCTGGCTTACACCTGTTTTCCTAATGTAATCAAGAACGTCTCCCTCCCACTCTCAAAAATGATGTAATTTGCATGATAAATTATAAGGTCACATGGTAAAAACCGTAACTTAAGGCATGAAACCGGAGCTGCATGGGAATCTCCCACAGGATTCTGAGGCTGCTGTGGTCATACAGGAACCGAGACCAGTGAAGGACGTGACTGTTTAGAGTTGTGCTTTCACATCTCTGCTCTGGTTTGATCTGCAAAACAACCCTGTGTGATGGGGCAAGCTGTGTCAATATTGTCACTTGAGGCCCAGAGACATTAAGTGACTTGTCCAGGGTTGCACAGCTAGTAAGTGGTAGAGTACAGACTGCAACTCATGGCTTTGGTTTTCTGAAAGCTGGGCTCCTGACACTTTTGTCCCACAATCAGCACATGCTAGCTCCCAAAGCGCAGAGGGTGAAAGTTGGATTTTAGTAGTTTGTATTGTCAGTTTCTTCAGAGGCTGGAAAGAGGAACTCTCCAACAGGAAGTAATTCAGCCTGACCTGATCAGCAGGATCACACCCCAGGGCACTGACAGGCTTGCAGGGAACGGGGCTTGTTTCTGAAAGAACCCCATTCATGCCTTCTGCCCCTCAACTGGTCCTTGGAAGAAACTCTGGTTCCTTTGTCAGCATCCTCTTGCCCAGCCTGGGGCTAACTTGGAGGTGTGTGTTACCCACACAGGGGAGGGGGGCTTCCCTTCCTCCAACCCCACTCCCTCTAACCCCCTTGACAGTTCAGAAAAAGAAATTCTGCCTAAGGGTGGAAGCAAAGCAGAGGGAGCCCCTAGGTTCCTTCTTCTCTGTCCCCCATGCTGGGTGGCCCTATTACTTTACCCTCAGGGTCAGTTTAGACCCTGGCCATCAGCATCTGGTGTTAAAAGAACTGCAGAAAAGGAGGGATTGCCCAAGGGGAAACACCCTTGCGTCCACAGTCTCTGCCTGTGAATGAATATTTTATTCCTTCTCTGCAGCACTTAATACATGCCTCGAGGCAAATGCACTTTTTAACATTGGAAAAATTACATCTGGAATAAAAAATTTTCTTAGCCCCACTCTGCACAAATTTCTTTTAATATAGGAGAATTTTTGTGTGAGTTCCTTATAGAAACAACCCCTATCTCCTATTCCCACACCCACCCCAATTTCAAGTTATTTATTCAATGGGCAAGAGAGACACAGAGCCTTCTGAGGGCAGGATGATTGGGCGAAGCAGGGCGAGGATTTTGGAGTGGGTCGGCAGCCACTGGCTCACTCCGGGTGGCTTGAAGTACAGAGCACAGATTGGGCAGGGTCGCGTGGAGACCGGTGAGTTTCCCTCAGTGCTTCTGTCCCTGGACAGCTTGCTCTGTGTCCTGAACAAGCACGGTCTTGCTCAGGACTCTGTCTTTTTCGGTTGTGTCCTTCCTGAGAATTTCCCCCTGGCACTCACCAGACATCCCAGTTGCTGCTTGCCTCGGGTATCCACTCTAATCCCAGTGAGGAGAATCAACTAATTTCTTTGTGGTTTTGGCCTGATTTTAATTGACTGGGACACCAATTAAGTGTTCAGGAAATCTGTCATATCCTAGAGGAATTAAAACTCGTGCGAGGGCTGAAGCAGCCTCTTGAAAGGGTGCGAGACAGGGCTCCCCAGAAAGGCTTCCTCCTCTAACCAGAACCTCTTCACTGTCTTGCAGAAATCAGGAATGGAAACCTCAAGGCCATTCTAGGCCTCTTCTTCAGCCTCTCCCGGTACAAGCAGCAGCAGCAGCCCCAGAAGCCGCACCTCCCCTCGCCACTGCTGCCTGCCGTGTCCCCGGCAGCCGGGGCCCCCTCCCAGTGCCAGGCTGGCGCTCCTCAGCAACAAGTGCCCGCCGCTCCCCAAGCCCCGTGCCAGCCTCACCAGCCAGCGCCACACCAGCCGTCAAAAGCACAAGCTGAGATGCAGTCCAGGTGGGCTCTCCTCCAAATGATACTTCTGCTTTTTTTCAGGGGCCTTCTGCCCCACTGACCACATTCTAGCCTGTGCCGGATGTGTGTGTCATTTGCGCTTCTTCCGTGCTGAGAACTGCCGGTAGTTAGTGGGGAATTAGCGTGACCTTGAAATGGATGTGCCTGGCGGAGATGTGTACTTTATAGATCAGAATCGCCAGCAGCCAGAGCTAATTAGCTGCTCCTGCCTGAACTCTGGCCTATTACACACACACACACACACACACACACACACACACACACACACACACACACACACACACCCACACACACACACACACACACACACACACACACACACACACA